GATGAACTTGGGCTTATTTATTTATTTATTTATTTATTTATTTATTTATTTTCGAGACAGGGTTTCTCTGTAGCTTTGGTGCCTGTCTTGGAGCTAGCTCTTATAGACCAGGCAGGCCTCGAACTCCCAGAGATCCGCCTGCCTCTGCCTCCAGAGTGCTGGGATTAAAGGCGTGCACCACCACCGCCCAGCTGAACTTGGGCTTTTTAAACAAATGTCTCATCTTGCACATTAGTTTCAGCAGGGCACAAGCCCTCCAAGGGTGAGCTGACACGCTTGGCTGGAAGCCACAGGTAGTATTGAATCAACACCCCGGCTGGTATTTCAGTCTAGCACCCCAAGGGCTCTATGGTAACACTGAGGAGCACGTGGCTTGCTATACGATGGCCAAGCCACTATGCAAAGAAGATACATTTCCACATAGGCTTGAGTAGAGATGCTGTTACTGGGGCTGGGGACCTATCAGCCATAAGCGCTGACCTAGCATGGACAAGGCTTGAGTCCCCAGCAGTTCCAACCAAACCAAGTGAGGATGGCACCTCTGCAATGCTGCCTTCTCCTTCCCTTCACAGTGGCAGCAAACCCAAGGCCTCTCTTTGCAGGTGGCTGCCCACTGTGTCCCAGCCCAGGATGCTCCCCCACGTCTTCCAGTGACAAGTGGTACCTGTGGTCTCCTGGGCTTTCCATACCACCCGGTTACTGAAGCCTGCATACTTGGAGGCCCTTGTGGATGATAAGGCACCTGAGATAGGCTGAGACAGGGTGACAGTGTGGGATGAAGCATCCCTGGGAGAGCTCGGACTGCAAGGCATCCAAGCACTGAGCAGGACTGAATGAAGTGTGAAGTGGCTCCTCAAACTTTTGGTTCACTTTCAAAGTTCTGAAAATTGATGACTCAAAACAAGAAAATCTCCACTCAGGAGCCTGGGGGGAAGCACACGATGGTAAAAATGACAAAAAAAAAAAAAAAAAAAAAAAGTCACCAAAATGAACTCGGAGCAAACATGTCTGCACAGCCCACTGATGCTAGCTGGGAGTCCGGGCAGGGAGGCGCTGCACTACTGAGCCTGCTCTGCAGATCACACATGTGTGAAGGCAGCAGCGAGGTCTGGACAGACACACACAACTAGGATGTGGCACCATGCACAGACTGCGTGGAGTCAGGAAGCTGGTGGCTTGGTTCATGTCCGTTTCTACTTCTCCAGAATATTATGATGCTGTCAAGCGCCAGACCTGTGCCATGTGTTTGGACTTTCCAGCCATGAAAATGATGAACCAAGTAAGCCTTTCTCTTTATGTGCTATCATCAGGTATTCTGCTAAAGACACAAAAATTGACTAAGATGCCCAAATGCCCCTCAGCTTCTGTGATGCCAACAGCTTCTCTGTTCTCTAACCCATGGGAAGAGGAGAATGTCATATTCTGCTAAATGTAAGCCATGTTCGTTATCTTTCCAAAGGCTTCACTGCTCATCTTTATTTTATAAAAAGCTCTTCAAAGCAAAAGCAAGATACATTTTATTTATTTATTTATTTATTATATATACAATATTCTGTCTGTGTATATGCCTGCAGGCCAGAAGAGGGCACCAGACCTCATTACAGATGGTTGTGAGCCACCATGTGATTGTTGGGAATTGAACTCAGGACCTTTGGAAGAGCAGGCAATGCTCTTAACCACTGAGCCATCTCTCCAGCCCCTACATTTTTTTTTTTTAACTCACTTTGTAGACCAGGCTGGACTTGAACTCAGAGATCTGCCTGCCTCTGCTTCCCAAGTGCTGGGATTATAGGTGTGTGACACCACGGCCTGGTGCAAGATGCAATTTTTTTTTTTTTTTTTTGGTGAGTTTTTGAGACAGGGTTTCTTTGTAGCTTTGGAGTCTGTCCTGGAACTCACTCTGTAGACCAGGCTGGTCTCAAACTCACAGAGCTCTGCCAGCCTCTGTCTCCTGAGTGCTGGGATTAAAGGCGTGTGCCACCACCACCCAGCACAAGATGCATTTTAAATAGCTAATACTGTAGAATTTTGTGTTCAAGAAGCAAACACATCAAATAATGAGTTCACTGAGAATGCATCAGTCACTCAGCTTTTCAAGGCTTCCAGACCATCACTGATTTTCAATCATTTTGGTTATTGGTTGAAGTCCTTGGGTTAGCTGAGCCACAGGAGTAGATTTTCCACTTAAAGCCACAGAATATGAGGCTGTGGTCCCCAAACATGTGGATGCTTCTTTGAGAAGATTGATAATGCATAGTCAGAGTTGCCAGTGAACTGCGGACTCTGAGATCGAAGGTCAAAGCTCATCTTGGTCACTTCTCTCTCGTGAAGAAACCCATCGACTGAGAATCACCTCCTGCAGCCAAGCAAAAGAGGGCTGGGCGTCAGAAAAAGAAACGGGAGTCCCAGGCATGTGACACTATGACCCTCACACGGGAACCTGTCCACTGTCACCACTGAACTAGTGTCCCAGCACACAGCAGCGACAAAGGCTAGTGCCTGACCCCTAGGACTGGTGGTCTGAGGGGTACTGGCACTTGTTGGTCAGCCATGTGAACTTTGGTTGACATTTTTATGAACCACCAACCTAGAGAAGATCAGAACAAATGGAGGGAGGTGGCACTGGGGCCCTGGAGACTGACAGGAACTCTGACTGGGACCAAGGAGGACACAGCCTCCCGAGAGAAGGAAAGCAAGGCCACACTGGCTGTGTGCGGGAGGTCTTCTGGGCAGTGGCAAAGGGAAGGGCACAGAAGCAGCAACAGCACTAGGGACTCAATGATGAACTCTGCAGCACTAGCAGAGGAAAACAGCCAGTACTGGAGGCGCCTGGAGTGAGCTGTGTGGGCGTGCGAGGCTCAGTGTCAGAACAGGCACTTGGTGTGCGCGAGGCCCTGTTTTCACTCTCAACACTGAAGAAGTTTGAGGAGGGATAGACAGCTAGTCTCTGGGCGCGGGACCTGTGGGAGACCTGGCCTGGCTACAGCAGGAGAAGGGGAAGCAAGAGAGAGCCTGGTACTGTGGAATGGTGGAGTCTACCAGGTTCCGGGGGAAGAAAGGGAGCGAGGTTTACAGGGCCAGAAGAAGCTTTCTGTCAAAAAAAGATCCTTCCTGTAGGCTCCAGAAGATGTAGTGCGAGCAAACTCTCAGGAGGCTGTGGCCCTAGTTCTGCTGCACACACCTGAACCTGAATCCTCTTCATGCATTCTGGGGTCTCCATGTCTTTGCTCGTCATGGAAGAGGGCTTAATCAAGTAGCACAGCATCAGCTCCTGCAGGAACAGAGAGACCCATGTGCCAGTGTGCGGAGAGGATCAGGCACCCCTGCCTGCCTTTGTGTACACTGGATACACACACTGTGGTGTGTACCCGTCCCTGTGTACACTGAACACACACACTGTGGTGCGCACCCATCCCTGTGTACACTGGATACACTGTGGTACGCACCCATCCTTGTGTACACTGGACACACTGTGGTGTGTACCCGTCCCTGTATACACTGGACACACACTGTGGTATGCACCCGTCCCTGTGTACACTGGACGCACTGTGGTGTGCACCTGTTGCTGTGTACACTGGACGCACACACTATGGTGTGCACCCGTCCCTGTATACACTAGACACACACAATGTGGTGTGCACCCGTCCCTGTGTACACTGGACGCACACACTGTGGTGTGTACCCATCCCTTGTACACTGGACACACACTGTGGTGTGCTCTTAACCATGGAACCATGTCTCCATCTCCTACATTTCCAATTTTAAAAAGGAACTAGGTAAATGACAGGCAAGGCTAAAGCCGTGTTACCTTAGAAACGTTCCCAGAGACTCTGCTCAAGGCAGCCAGCGACTTCCAGCTAAAAGGCCTGCGGAGGGAGCCCTTGAAGTTGTCGTCCACGAGCTCAACGATGACAGAATAGCTAGGAGACAAGAGAGGCATCCTGGGAAACCCCAAAATCACCTTGTTCAGAGAGCAGTGTGTCCCACTAAAACCAAGACACAAGGATTTCTTGTGCTGCTAAGAGCCCAGACCATTAAAGAGAATCACTAATGACAAACTGGCGGGAAGCTACCGCTCCAGATGATCGCATGCTTACTGACATAGGAACAGAAGCGTTTCTCTCTAGGTGAAAGCGTCAGTTCATACAGCTGCTTGGATGCTCTGAAGACTGCACAGACTAACCTGGTGTTTAACACATACATAATGTATACAGTGCAAAACAGTTTCACTCTGTAGCCCTGGCTAGCCTGGAACTTGCAATGTAGACCAGGTTGGCCTCAAACTTACAGAAGCTTCACCTGCCTCCTCCTCAGAGTGCTGGGGTTAAAGACATGAGCTACCACACTTGGCTGGATGTATGACTTTTTAAAGAAATATATTTTATTTTTATAAGTATTATGTTTGGCTGGAGAGATTGTTCAGAGGTTAAGAGCACTGGTTGCTCTTCTATAGTACTCGGGGTCAATTCCCAGCGCCCACATGGCAGCTCACAACTGTCTGTAACTCCTGTTCCAAGGGATCTGATACCCTTATGCAGACACATATGCAGGCAAAACATCAAGTACATAAAATAAAAATAAACCATTGAAGAAGTAATATAGGTGTTTGCCTGTAAGTGTTGTGTACCACATTCATGCTTCTGTCTGTGGATGACAGATATTGGGTCCTCTTGTTGAAAGCCACCATGTGGGTACAGAGAACTGAACCTGGAGCCTCTGGAAAAGCAGCCAGTGCTCTTAACCACCAAGTCATCTCTCTAGCTCTAGCAATACTACTGTTTTAGTTTTTGAGATAGGGTTTTACCGTGCAGCCCTGGCTGTCCTGGAACTCCCTTTGTAGACCAGGCTGGCCTTGAACTCAGAGATTCGCCTGCCTCTGCCTACTGAGTGCTCCACCTGGCTAGGAATATGACTTTTAATTGTTTCTGAGACATTGAAAATGAAACTTGAAGCCAGAAATTTCCTTGTGTTTTTTCAATTAATTTAAAAATTTTCCAAACCTTGCATGGTAAAACGGAGGGCCTTTCCGATACAGCACTGCAAAGAGGAAAAAGGAGACGTTAACCCATCATAGCCAGGCCAGAGTGAGGCAAGCACTCCGCTTTCTGCACGAGGACACTCTGTTCTCTGCCCCCCAGGCTGGCTTCACACCCAAACTCCTTCCCAGAAACAAAGAAGTCAGTCAGATCCGCTGCCAAACCTCGATATCCTCGTCCACCCCATAAGCAGCTCTCCTCCTGGTGTTGGGACTGAGTCCAGTGTGTAACGTGGTAGGAAAAACATGAAGTCCATAAAATGTACAGTATTTGTGATAACTCAGAGCGAGGGTAGCCCCGTCTGCTGTGGCAGGTGAGCACGGCAGATGAGCAAACTTCCGGTTTATTTTAGGGGAAGCCAAGGGTCACTTCTCAGCCTCTTGGTTACAGAAGTGTAGAAATGCAGGTCCTGGGGAGATGGTTCAGTGGTAAGTGCACTGTATGAGGACCCGAGTTTCAAACCCCAACACCACATAAAGGTGGATTATGGTTACACATGCCTGTAACCCCAGCAGCAGGGATGGAGAGGTGGGGGTGTGGCGTGCTGTGGGCTGTGGGAAGTGGATCTCGAGAGCTTGCTGGCCAGCCCAGCCAAAACAATGAGCTTCTGTTGTGGTTCACTGTGAGATAAGGAAATAAGGCAAAGAATGACAGAAGAAGCCACCTGCCATCCTCCTCTGACCTCCTGATGCATGCTTGCCTGCAGTTATATGCATATATTGCACACACTCACATGCTTGGGCTGGCAAGATGTCTCAGCAGGTAAAAATGCTTGGTATGAATATCCATACACTGTGCCCACACCATGGCACATGTGCCCTTGCAAACCTGAGCCCATGCACACACAGAAATAAAAGTTAAAATAAATAAGAAAGAAATTCAGCCAAGAGGCTATAAAGATCCATAACCACACACTCCACCCAGTGACTAGATTGCCTTTCTCGTGGGGATCTGACACATGAAGGAGTGAAGCCATACTGCAGAGATCAAAAAGAGTCTCTCATTGAAGGAGCCTGGGCCTAAGGACTGTACACCTCCACAGGGAGCCTTTGGTGGCAGGTACTGGCTAGCTGCCTGCCAAGTTCATCTTGCTTCCTCCAGGCAGTTTCTGAGCAGCCAGGCCTGGCCCTGTGCTGTGTCATGTGCCAAGAGTTCAGCACTTAGTGAGTGATCCTAAGAGCCCGTGCTGAAGACAGAACCAGAAGCCGGGACCCTGAGCACCTGACAGTGAGTGATCCTAAGAGCCTGTGCTGAAGACAGCAACCGGAAGCCGGGACCCTGAGCACCCGACAGAGTTCAGCTGGAGCTAACCGGAGATGCTCATGGGATTTCATGTAAAATAAAGGGAACTCTATAATAAGCCCCTAAGCCTTAAATAAACAAACAATGAATGCCACAGCCAAGCGCCGAAGGCCAGAATCTATAAGTAACCCACAGCTATGCCACTATTGCTGCCACATGCTAGCCCCGTGACACTGGCTGCTCCTTTACTCCCCATTAAAGGAAAGGTCAAGGAAAGTCCGTTCCCCTTGAGCAATAGCCACAACTTCCTTTTGGAAGACAGTGATCCTGGAGCCAGTTCTGGACCCCAGAACACTGCAGAACCCCTTCACCTAGCCTGCTGTTTCTAGTCCATTTCCTGTGGTCACATTCATTGCCATTTGAGTACTCACATTCAAACAACTCTCCACTTTGGGGGTACAGCAATGGGATGAAGGTGGACTCAGGACCATTGCTTCCGGCCCAATCTCTGACAACTCAGGATGTGAGACTTTAGACCAGTTACCTCTCTGAACTGCTTTCCAAGAGTCTAAAATGAGGGCATTGCTGGGCACAGTGACACACACATGTAATCCCAGCTAGGCAGGAAGCTGAGCCAGGAGGGTTGTTTAGCTGTGAGAGTGGCCTGGGCAATGTGATGAAACTCCATTTCAAGACACAAACAAAAAAATTAATCACCCAAGGGTGAAGCTTCAAGAAATGAAGGTCCTCTCTACCCCCTGAATCCATGTCAGGAACCAAATTTGTATCTTCACCCCAAATTCTGGGGGGTTCAATGCTTAGAGTAAGTCATGAGTCATGTGGACATGCCTCGGACAGCCCTTTCCAGAAGTGCTCTACACAGATGTTTCCTCAGCATCACACGACGGTGATATGACAGAGCTCAGGTGAATGAAGAAGCCAGCTAAGGCCACGCAGTCAATAGGAAGTAGATCTAGCTGTGACCCAAGAGCTCTGTTACCCACGCTGCATCTCAACATACTGGACAGCCTTGCTGATCGCTTCAGCTTCTATTCCGCTCTCGGGATGAGAATGGTGGAGACCTGTCAGGTAGGTGGAGTGGCTGTGATCTCAGGAGTGGGATGAGAGGAAGTCAAAAGAAACAAAACAAGGCCATCCTCAGCTCAGGGCAAGCTCAGCTCACCCCATCAGCCACATGTGCAACATCCAGGATGGAAGGAATAGGGAAGGGCACATAGCAAACGCCCGGCTGCTGTCCAGAAGAGTTCTGGGCTGCTGGTACCCCCTGAAGACTATCCCACAATTCCAGGTGTTGTGACTATCCTCAGAGCCAGGCAACTCTCTGGGGGGGGGGGGGGATTTCAGCTGTGCCCCCTTGGAAATGGGTCATCTCAGCTAAGCTTGTTGACTCTTTATGCCCACCATGGAGGGGTGGGGATGGTCATGAGACCCTCACCTGAGTATCCAGCACTCCTTACTACCTGCTGTATGTGGCCTAGGGGAGGGACTAGCATATATAGGCCTGGGAAGACTAGGGCACAGTGTGGGGTGGGGCCCATCTATGGGTCTATGTGATGAGCCCTCATCCTTGCTAGGTGTGGCCTGTTTGGGGAAAGCAGCACCCACAGCACTGTAAGTAGCCCCTCACCTAAAAAAACAGAAACAAAACAAAACAAAATCAAAAACAAAAAAACAACCAACTGACTGGCTCCCCAGAGTGAACTTTGGCAGAACTGTCCTTCAGTTCCTCACTGGGACATTAGGACATAAGCAGGGGTGGATGTTGCTTATGCCTCAACCTGGGAAAGAATTCTAGCAGCACCAGGTTAAGCACAGTCTACTTTAGAGCATGACAATTTTGATCTATTTTTAATTTTTTATTATCTGGATGTTTTGCCTGCATGCGTTTTTGTGCTCCAAGTGTGTGCTTGGTGCCCAGCAGAGGCTCAAGAGGAAGTAAGATTCTCTGGAACTGGAGTCACAGATGGGTGTGATCCGCCATGTGTGTGCTGGAATCAAACCCAGTTTCTCCTCCATTCCAGGCCTCTTCAGTCACAGGTAAGACAGCACTCAGAGGGTCTCACTAAACCAGGTCACTTTAAAGACTTTTCATTTGTCCAAATCCCAGATCCAGGCCCAGCCTGAACCCCTCAGGACCCGGGTTCTCCACACTCTTACCTCTGTGTAGTTCCTGAGACTGGCCTTCGCCTCTGTGCTTGCTGTTTGCTTTGCCCAGCAAGCCCTTCCCAGATACAACTCTCTCTCATATGCTCACAGCCCTTCCCAGATACAACCCTCTCACACTATCCTCACAGCCCTTCCCAGATACAACTCTCTCATATGCTCACAGCCCCCAGGGGATCCCCGCGGAGGCATTGACATGAAGTTCCCATGAGCCTGCACACCAGGATCCAAAGCCTGGAAATGACTGGCCCTGGAAACCACTAAGGCACATGACCGCTCCTCTCCACGGGAGTGATGAGCACCGGGACACAGAACAGCAAAGGCTGCCACGAGGAATGAGTGTCACAGGATGTACAGCGCCACACCGACAGTGTTCAAGAGATGACAGCTGGGACCATCAACGCAACTCCAGGACTCTTCTCATTTGGGGGTGAGGCAAGCGAAGCTGCAAGGACACAGCTGACCAAAATCACACAAGACCATGGCTGAGGTGCAGTCAGCAGGTCCAACGGAACTCTCGTCTGTGGTAAGAAAAGCCTGCGTCTGCTTGTAGCTTCCTCAACATACTGCCTTCTCACTCTGTGGACTTAACCCATCCCATCCAAATACCCAGCATTTCTATCTATTCAAATCATCAACAGCACAGATAGCTAGCCCACCCTCCCAGGCAAAATGTGCTGACCCTGTCCTCGGATCTGCCACACGCATACACACACACCCCAAGAGCTACTCACACAGATCTGTTCCGTATTTGAGCCCCACTTTGGGCACCCAGCCTTTGCTTCGGAAGTAGTGGTAGGCCATGTAGGTAGTCCTGAAGGTGGGCTGGACCGCGGTGAAGGCTTGCCAGAGCTTTACTATCGTTAAAGGCTCCTAGAGTTGTTGTTTGAAGAAAAGACATTAGTTTGTGTGTCTTCACTCCCACTCGGTAAGCGAGTATACATCTAGACTAGCACGGTACCACAGCAGCAATGGAGACAAACAAGAGGGGTTTCATTCAGGAGACCTGACCCACACTGACTATATGACAGCAACCACTATGTATGGCTCCTCGTAACACAGGTGCTACTGTGAGGTCCATCTCAAACAAGAGAAAGCAACATGAGCAACCTTGGTAATTTGGGTCATGTTAATTTAATCACACTTTTTCCCCTTCAGTGCTGGGTATGCAAAACAGGTCTTGTGAGCACTTAGGCATGCGTTCTACCACTGAGCTACAGCCCAGCCATCCTACATATGTGCAGTTAAAAAAGCTATGCACATATTCTCAGAATTGTTTTTGTGGGTGTGGAAATAGTTTTTTTTTTTTTTGAGACAGAGTTTCACAGCTGTAGCCTAGGCTAGCCTTGTACTTGCAGTCTTCTCGTATCTGCTTCCCATGGACTACCAGAAAAGTCTCCAACGACCCACGTAGCGCCCACCTAAGGCTCTCACTCATCTCTTCTGAAGCAGGACTTTAGAGTGGTGTGGGAAGTCCTTCTGTCTATGTATTTATTGCTTTTATTGGTTAATGAATAAAGAAGCTGCTTTCTGCCAATGGCTTAACAGAATATAACCAGACTGGAAGATTATATATATATATAGACAGAGTCAGGAGCCGCCATGGAGCCGCCAGAGGAGGAACCTTGCTGGTAAGCCACAACCACGTGGCGATACACAGAATAAATAGAAATGGGTTAGTTTAGGATAAATGAAATTAGTTTAGGATATAAGAGTGAGCCAATAAAAAGCTAGAGTTAATAGGCCAAGCAGTGATTTAATTAATGCAGTTTCTGTGTGATTATTTCGAGTCTGGGAAGCCAGGAATGAACAAGCAGCTTCCAACAACAAATTGGAATGCCAGTGTGTCAACTATATCCACATAAAACCTGAGAAAGCTTAAAAAGGAATTCTAGATACAAAAGAAGAGAGTTAGGCATGGCTTTTTGGTAGCATCTTCTCAGGTGGGTCTCTTTGCTAGAAGCTTCCTGGTTTTTAAATGGTTCTGAGTCTTTCGGGAGGTCCTGATGCAGAGAATTTAATGAGGTCTGTGAGCAGAGTGCTACAACTTGCTTAATGGCAACACAGACCTGCTGTGTGCCTGAAAATGCTCTCAGAGGCAGCAAACATGCCTCTGCCATGTTGGACTGGGTGGAGCAAGCAGGCAGGGCCGTGTTGGCCCCTAGCCATGCCTGCTTAGCATTTAAAAAAGGGGGGCACTTCTGGTCAAAAGATAATTATAGATATGCAATAAAGACAAATTCAGATGGAAAAGACCTCTAAATGGGTGGCAGTGTTGGATAAATGTACATAGGCTTGGGAGAGAGAAGAAAAAGAATATAGGGAGTTATAAAAAGAAGCAAACAAAGTCTTTAGAGAGACAGAGTACAGACAGTCATAGATTAAAAAAATAAAAATAAGTAATGTAAAGATGGATTATGTATATTATTGTGTTTTCTTTGAATTTTTTGACAGTGAAGGAACTAAGTACAGAGAGGCACTTCACTGTACTGGCTGCTAAGCTAAACCAACATATATCTTAAACGTATTACAACTTCAGAATTTGGGTCTAAGAATTTGTTGCTTTGGATAAAAGGTTTTCCCTTTGTTTCCACAGATGAGAACCTATGGATTCCTTCCAGACTAATGTGGTTTGATGGACCAAGACTCCCCCCCAAAGGTCACTGTCAATGCCCCCCCCCCAATTACTTTGCCAAATAAACAGTCGGAAGTAGTTTGGAGAGAACTACGTCCAAATTCCCAAATATTGTTTATAAATGTTTGTTTACATTTAAAGGGGGATATATAGATATGAATACTTTGCATTGGTATGGATCTTGGTCTACCAATACAAATTTTAGGTCAATTTTGTTATATGTATATTTTTGCTCTTGATTAAGGTACTGTGTTTTGCAGCTCATTTAAAAATTCAATGTAAAATAAAAAAAAAAACTTTTTTAAAAAAAAGGGCTGGAGAGATGGCTCAGGGGTTAAGAGCACTGGCTGCTCTTCCGGAGGTCCTGAGTTCAATTCCCAGCACCCATATGGTGGCTTACAACCATCTATAATAAGATCTGGTGCCCTCTTCTGGACATGCAGGACCCACAGAGAAATGACTGCTGAACTTGCCTAAAGGTGAGATGATCCTTCGGGTTCCTGCTTCATGAAAGAGTCTGCTAGACATTCTGCAGGACACAGAAGAAAGTGACTGACAAACTGCCGATATAGGTGGAACCGTCTTTGAAAATCCTGCTTCATGGAAAAGTCTGCTGTATACTATGGGCCTGTAGGCTGAATATGGATGCCCCATCATTACAGAAGAACTTTGGGTGACTGTCCAGGCAGCAAGATGTCTCTGTCAATTTTAGAACTTTGGAAGTTGCTTACAATGAACTTTCTGTTAACTTAGGTAATATTATATCCTTCTGGAGTCTTTGATGGAATTGGAGAATTTATAATTATAGTTAGTTTTCCTTAGTTATGATAAAAGATAAAATAGATATAAATATTATAATTGTAATTCTTGCTTAATAACTTTTGTTATATGTAATTTTACTATGTTAAAGTTAAAATCTTCCTTTTCACTTAAACAGAAAAGGGGAAATGATGTGGGAGGTCTTTCTATGTGTTGCTTTTATTGGTTAATGAATAAAGATGCTGCTTTCGGCTAATGGCTTAACAGAATACAGCCAGTCTGGAAGATATATATATATACACACATACATACACACACATATATGTACATGGAGTAGGAAGAGTCAGGAGACACCATGGAGTCGCAGAGGAGAAAGATGCAAGCCACCAGCCAGAACCTTGCCAGTAAGCCACAGCCATGTGGTAATACACAGATGACTGGAAATGGGTTAATTGTAGATGTAAGAGCTAACTAGCTAGCAATACGCTTAAGTTATTGGCCAAAGAGTATAGTTATTGAGTGATTATTTAGTGGTCTGGGAATGAACAAGTGGCCTTCGCCAACATTAGAGAACCCAGGAAAGGAAATGCTGAAGCCAGGGTGCAGCTTAGTGATGGAGCATGGGCTCAGCACACATACGTTCCAGGCTCCATCCTTGGGAGAGGGTGAAGGAAAGGAATGAGTGTTCTGGTGGAAGCACCACCCCGGCCCCTGGCATCCATATACCCAAAAGTCTGGAATATTCTGGTGGAAGCTTCCCCTTAAGCCCTTTCCCCCATCTCTCTTCAAACCCTGCTGCATCTCAGGAAGCCCACCAAATGATGACCCCTCCCCTAGAGATGTTCAAGACCATTCCCACAGGGTATTTAAACTGCCCCCCAGAATACAGACATGTGGATTTTGTTGGTCTCTTCCCTGAAAATCATCAAGGAGCATTTTACTCATTAAACATGGGCTTTTTCTAATTCAATCAGATTTGGTTTGATTTGGATTGCTGTGTTGTTGGAGAGGCTTATAGGGTGCAAAAACTTTTCAATGAGAAACAGCAAAGGTCAAGGGGTCAGAGGCCATGTAAAAAGGTGGGGATCTGGGTAATGACATTTTGGGCAAAGGAACCAGCGTGTAGTGTTGAGCTCCAGCGCAACAAGCCCACTGGAGTGTGTTAGCATACACTATCCTTTAGTGAGCAGCTACTGCAACGCCATGCCAGGTGTGGAAGAGTAAAAAATAATTCTGTAAGTGAAGTTTTCATTCAAGACCCAAAGATGATCCCTGGCTCCACCTCAGCTTTCAGACAGGAGAATGGCCACCTGACGGTGCAGTCTGATAACCCAGCTGTGGGCACAGCAGGCCGTACAGCGCTAACCTGGCTGTGTTCAGGCCACCTGAGGGTGTAGCATAACCCAGCTGTGTCCAGAAAGGAGACTTGAACAGAACAAGACTGCTTTTCAGGTTCCTTCAGAAAACAGTCACGAGTAACTGGATGGGTTTGGAAAGGGCCTTTCCTGATTCTATTGCTTGGGAAAGAATTAACCCTTCAGCTGGCTGGGCCACGGCTCACTGGCAGAGCATGTGCATAGTATCAAGGCCCTGGACTCCGTCCCTAGGTCACAAATAGCTCTTATAAACACCTCGGGTTAGTTCTGTTCCTGTATGTGTGGCTTCAATTCCTCACTAAGTCTCCCTAAGGAGGTGGAGTCCCAGCAGGGTGCCTGGGGATCCCTAAGAAGCAGACACAAGTGCTTCCTCTGCTGTTTGTCTCCCTTCTTCTTCTTTCTTGTATCTTACATACTTTGAATAGGCTTGACATCAAGGAAAAAAAGGACAAAGCGTGTCCAGTGACAGGCCACCCCCTTTCATCTGCCTAGAGGTTAGCAAGGACAACGCCCTGGCCAAGGTGAAACCACAGATTTTGAAGTCACCCAGGTATGGGTTAACCAGCGGATTCTAACCACACTAGCCAGGAGGCCTTGGCCGAGTTACTATTTCCCCAGGGCCTCAGTCAGCTTGTTACTGCAGCTCCTACCAAGAGGCAGAAAGGATCGGAAACAGCACAGGCAAGCTGGGCTGGCTCGCACATGTAATTCCAGCACTCAGTGAGCTTCAGGCCTGCCTAGGCTACAAAGGGAGATCTCAACTCAAAAACAAAAGCGAAGGACTGGAGAAAGGGCTCTGTCATAAGTAAGAGCCCTGGTCCAGTCTCAGCATCTGCATAGTAGCATAACTGTCTGTGCTCCAGTTCCAGGAGACCAAGGCTCTCTGCGGACTCTGCGGACCAAACACGAATGGGCTGCACAAACATGCAGGCAAAATGCCTATACACATAAAAAAATCAAACAAACAAAAAACAAAACCAAAATATAAAAGATCCAAACAAACAAAGACCATTGAATTTAAAGGGTTCCTATACATACACGTGTAGGAACCACACATGGGTGACTTTGATTATTCTCCCAGTGCTGGGGATGGAACAAGGTCTCAAACATGTCGAGCAGGCTCTCTGCTCCTGAGTTGCTCCCAGCCTGCAGAGCTTTACTTTTTGCTGGTGATTCTAGTACCATCCTTGCACTTCCCACAGGTTCTGAGAAAGACACACTCTGAAAGGTTCACCCTGGCTTGTGCCTGAACTGCTCCAGCTGAGGCTCCAAACCCAAAACTTACAGGAAAAAGATAATTCCTACTTTTTTCAGTCAAAGTTGACACATTTGTGTTGCAGCTCCATGGGAAGGGGCCCAACCTACTGTCAACAGGGGAACTGTGAGATTATATGCATACAGAAACTTACCTTCTCATAGTAAATACTTAAGCATCCCAGGGCGTATGCCAGGAAGAAAGCCTACAACAGAGCAGGGGAGTTCCCATTAGAAGCAGTCTTCTAGGGTGGGCAGGTAAGCAGCCACCTTGCATGCCCATGGTTCACCCCAGCACCACCCAACAGAAATAAAAATAGCTTTCTGATGAAGCCAACATGCTTTCAAATGCTGATCCAATCCCAACAGCTACACATTGTGGCTTTTGTCCCAGGCAGTCAGGATTTACTATGGTCCTCAGGTCTCAGGCGCCCGGAGATGGGGTGGTGGGCATCACTAAAAGCTAGCTTGTAGTGACACTGCTTACTTTGTGTTTTACTGACACTAGTGCTGCAGACTGAGGACCTCCTCCTGCATGGCTGAACTACCCTACCAAACAACATCCCAGTCTGACTTTTCTAACATCAAAGTATTTGAAAAGGCATGAGACACGCTGCCCATAAATAATTACAAAGAGTCCCTGCCTCCAGGTTCAGGGCAGGAGGGCCCTGGAGTACAAACAGGACTTGGCTTTTTTCCTCACTGTCCCCTCTTGTCCTAACCTGGGGTACGTGTAGCAACAAGGGGCCAGAAAGCGGAAAGGTGAATTAGTGTAGCCCCTCAGTGACCTCCTTGGAACCACCCAGAGCCACTGGGCTGATGCTCTCCAGAGCTGCAGCTCTTCAAGGCTGTCTGCAGGTCTTAGATCTTAAACTCAAAAAGCTATTGCCTCATTCGTGTTCCTGCTAGGTGGGGGACACAGGTAGAGGCAGAAAAGCCCAAAGCCTCTGGTGAGACCATGGCAGAGCCCATCACAGCCAGACCTCACGGTGATTGCGAAATAGTACCAATATTCTCACTCATTTGGAAAATGTGGAATATTAGTTTAAAATGTGTTACACTCCTTTATGCTGTGGGATATTTGTTTAGTGATGCAAAGATGTGCTGCATTCTAATGTTGCATTTGTTTAACTCTGCAAAGCTGTCTAAAACATGTGATTGGTCTAATAAAGAGCTGACTGGTCAATAGTGAGGCAGGAGAAAGAAACAGACAGGGCTGCCAGGCAGAGAAAATAAATCGAAGAGAAGGAGAAGAGGGAGGAACAGAGAAAGGAGAGGAGGACGTCAGGGCAGCCACCCAGCCAGCCATGGAGTAAGAAGAAAAGGAAGGAATATAGACCAGAGAAAGGTAAAAGCCCAGAGGCAAAAGGTAGATGGGATGATTTAAGTTAAGAAATGCTGGCTAGAAGTAAGTCAAGCTAAGGTTGGGTATTTATAAGTGATAATAAGTCTCCGTGCACTCATTTGGGTGGCCCCAAAGAGCAAAGAGTAAAAAGAGTCAAACACTAACCACAGGGAAACAGTTATTCTCATAGAAATACTGTTCAGAGCAGGCATGGTGTCTCAGTCCTGCTCTTGGAATACACCCAGCCCTTCCACTCTGGCTGTCTACCACGTTAACGGCCCTTTCCTCACCGTAGGCTCAAGCAACTCTTCTGCCTGTCTCCCCCAGAGTCTTCTTGCTTTTGTCTGGAAATGTCTTTCGCCCATGGACGTCTCTGAGGAGAAGATCACAGCAGGCAGAGCAGCCTGATGCTGTCCCTCAGCCTCTAAGAGTGTCTCGCTTCCCTTTGGTGAGGGTTCAATGCTTGTGCTAAAAGAATGAAAGGAACCCCGACTCCTGCCTTGGCTTAGGTCCAGGCAGTCAGATCCACTGGGTGTTCTGCACCTGCTGGGCTTGCTTTCCAGGGCCTACCCGTCCTGAGGGCTGGTTCTTTCTGCTGCCCATGCCCATGGCCCCACAGGCTTGTCTTGCTTTCCAGGGGCCAATCCGCCCAGAGGCTGGTCTTGTCCTCTTAGTGCTGCCCACAGCCCCACAGGCCCCACAAACTTGTCTTGGCCTCACCCTTGTCTTTACCTTTATTACTACTGAACACCGCAGTTTTTGGATGGACCAGGTGATCAGAAACACAATGGAAAAGATAAAGCTGTCGCCCCAGATGATAAGTTCCCTTTTTTTTTTTTTTTTTTTTTTTTTGGTAAATTTGTATTTCTTATTTCAGAAAGGTGAAAAAGAAAGTAAGTCAGCCTCAGAGGATCAGAGTGGAGATGGAATAAGGTCTAGCAGACCTGGGTTCAAGCTTTCATTGAGGTGGTTTAAATTGCTTTTATTTTCAATTCTTATTTTATGCATATGGGTATTTTGCCTATATGTATGTATGTTAAGTGTATCACGTGTGTGCCAGGAATACAAGGAGGCCGGAAGGGGGCATCAGATTTCCAGGAACTGGAGCCACCATGTGGGTAATGGGAACAGCTTGGGTTCTCCTGAGGATAAGAGCCAGTGCCCTTAACCCTTATCTCTCCCATCTCCCTGAGGTGTTTCTATTTGGAGTCAGATCCTCACGAGACAGGAGAGGGAGGTCTGTGAAGCTGGCATCACCAGCAAGCTTCTTCCACTTTCAGGTGCTCAGTGGATGTGAACCTGGTGACAGTTTTCCCATCATAGGGCTACTCAGGTCAGGGCCCACAGCCTGGCTCAATGATCACATGACTCCTTAATGGAAGACATAAGAGAGAGAGAGAGAGAGAGAGAGAGAGAGAGAGAGAGAGAGAGAGAGAGAGAGAGAGAACACAGAATCAGCTCAGCCAAGTGGTAGTTAGCCATGAGCATGGTTCAAGAGCCCGACAGGGAAGACGCCGGCTGTGGAAGACGCTATCTGTGTTACAGCTGTCAGAGTCCAGCAGAGGGACAGGCAAAAGCCTCTCAGGTGATGCAGTCACTGTGAATTCTTAATTTATGATGGCGTCAATAATTTAGAGAGAAGAGGACTTGCTGTGGGGGAGGGAATGTGGGCTACCAAAGAGTCAGGAACTGCGGCCAGGAAGGACGTGCGCAAGGGCCTAGCATTTGCGTTGTTAATGTGATATCTGATACTGAACATGAACTCAAAGAGAATTGTTAAGCTCAGCAAGCAGAAGGGAGCCCATCTGAAAGACCTGCCCCTTCCTTAAGCTTTCCCTTAGCAAGCCACACCCTTCTACAAGCTACTGTCAAACCAAATTTTGCTGGAGCTCATTTTTAAATTAAGAGGAAAGACAAACAAACAAACAAACAAATGAACGAACCTGTCATTTTGTGCCAGGCCAACAGAGAGAATCAGAAGCTAAACTGGGGCCAAGTCCACCCAGGATGCACCATCCCAGTGAGAGATGTGCTCATCGCTGCATGCCTTCCAGGACAGGCACCTGACACATGCTAGATCTCATCTGACTTTCACTGTGACCTTCTCAGGGAAACATCCCGGAATGTTACCATCCGAAAACCTCTTGTGTGCTATGTTGATGAGGTCGGCATTTTCTCCCTCCTTACCTTTTCTGTGTTTGAGACAGGGTTTCACTGTGTATCCCTGTCTGCCCTGGAACTTGATATATATACCAAGCTGACCTGGAATTCACAGATATCCCTCTGCTTCTGCCTCCCAGTGCTGGGATTAAAGGTGTGGGCTACCTTGCTCAGAACCATTTATCTTTGTTTATTAGTTCACTTCTATCTTTAACACAGTGGGAGCAAACCCGGGGCTGCAGGCATGCTAAGCAAATGCCGTGCCACGGAGGTATGATCCCAATCACCGTCATCTCCGGGCCACGGAGGTGTGATCCCAATCACCGTCATCTCCGGGCCACGGAGGTGTGATCCCAATCACCGTCATCTCCGGGCCACGGAGGTGTGATCCCAATCACCGTCATCTTACTTATTGCCATTTATCACTGGCAGTTCCCAGCAAATGCTTCAGAGTTCAGGCTGTAGAGTCAGAGGGCTGAGGTCCAAGTACTGATCTTGAGCAAGGAACTTAACCAACCTGAGGTTCAGTTTCTTCCCCATCAGAGAGCTCACAATAGGATCTAGGGCTATATGAGGACTCGAGATAATACAAATAGATCCTTAGCAGAGACACTGAGACCAGCACACACACTATTCCATTGTTCTCATTATGTGTGACTTCCTCTTGAGTCCTGGAGCTGAGCCCACATAATCATGGGCCAATGAGCACCCCTGTGGATGTTCCCTCTTCCATGAAATGGAACAAGCACAGTGCAACCCCGTATCTGGAGCGGATGGTGCAGGTGAGACGGGGCAGGTGCTGCACAGGAGCTCCCTTCCCCGGCCCAACTGCAGATCCCCAGAAGAACAGGGAGGATGAAGTATTTTTCCTGCTCACATCTCCAGCACCTACCCTGCCCTGGCCGCCACACAGGAGGTCTTCCGGAAATGACCACAATGGGAGGGACACACCCCTGCTGGCGTCACCCCCCAAGGCCCCGCCAGCTTCCCTTTTCCCAACAGCCAGTCACAGGGTTTACAAGGAGGCTCTCACCACCTAAGGATGGTTACTGTGTGCAAAGGATAGAGAAATCATGGTACACACGAACAAAGGGATTTCATTCGACCAGAAAGAAAAGTGAAACGATACATTTGCAGGAAAATGGAGATTACTGTGTGAAGCGAGATCAGCCTGCCTCAGAAGGCCAAATTCTGCAGCCCCCACCCCAATCAAATGTAGACTCTGTATCTACATTTGCATGTGTTAGCAGAACACGAGAAAGGATGCCGGAGTGAGAAGCTAAGATCTTCCAGGGGTGGACAGGAAAGAAAAGAAGGTAATGGGATCAGGTGAGAGCAGGGGTGTTTCTCTGAGGGCAGTAAGGGGACAAAGGGCGGGGTAAAGGAGTGAGGGGCAATGAGATGAGAACGGAAATAAAACATATCGACACATGTATGAACATAATGAAGCATACTTTGTACGCTAGCTTAAATTTTTAAGTAAAAAACCAAACCCAAATCTATGTGAAACAGCTGGCCTTCAACTCCTGATCCTTTTTTTTTTAAAGATTTATTTATTTATTATGTATACAACATTCTGCCTCGATATATGCCCGCACGCCAGAAGAGGGCGCCAGATCTCATTACAAGATGGTTGTGAGCCACCATGTGGTTGCTGGGAATTGAACTCAGGACCTCTGGAAGAGCAGCCAGTGCTCTTAACCTCTGAGCCATCTCTCCAGCCCAACTCCTGATCCTTTTGCCTCCACTTCCCAAGCAAGACTACAGGCATGTGCCACCATGCCTGGCACCTCCTTCTTTAACTGCTCTGAGCTGTATCTGGCATACACTAGGAGGCAGGATCGTGGGTCTCTTTCCACATGGTTAAGGAGCTGCCCAACATTGCGGATCCATTGTCTTTTCTTCACTGACAGGAAATGAGATTTTCACTGAATACTGATTTCCCGTCTACATACAGGTGGTCTGCTTTAGTCTCTTTGGGCCAATCTTTTCTTTCTTAAACTTTTAATTATTCTAACCTCATGTCTTTTACTTCCAGCTACAAAGAAGTTTGTTGTTTCAACTGTTTTGTTCTTGGGCTGGGGTAGGTCAGTGCCTCCTCTTGCCCAGCTTACACGAAAGCCTGGTTTGGCCCCAGCAGCAGCAACAGCAGCAGCAGCAGCAGCAGCAGCAGCAGCAGCAGCAGCACTTTCTCACGATTCTCATGATTCCAAAAGAAGTTTAAGAACCAACACCAAGGAGAGCTGATCTTCTCTTTTTCCTGCTGGTCCACAAGCATGGTCTGAACCAAGCAGACCCTCAGTGCCACTCAGGGGAATATATTAAGGCCATGCATATACTGTGAAGCTGGCTTTAAATATGGCAAAGGAGGAAAATCCGAGCTCTCAAAAAAGTCATTCAGGCCGGGCGGTGGTGTCGCATGCACTAGGGAGGCAGAGACAGGCTCTGTGAGTTCAAGGCCAGCCTGGTCTACAGAGTGAGTTTCAGGACAGCTAGGATCACACATAGAAACCCTGTCTCAAAAATGCAACAAACAAAACCCCAACAATCAAAAGGTTGTGGTGAAAGTAATTTTACAGTTAGGATCAGTATTTTAATAGTAATAAAAGTGATCACAAATTTCTGTGTGGAATTGTAGCTACTCAAATCAATGGAGTGTGATGCTGGCTCATTTTGTTTTTGTCCCGGCCTCCCCTGTCCAGGAAACTAAAAATGTTCTCCGCAGCATCCAGCACAGAGGTCACACGCGCCTGTTGGTACAAAGGGATGTGGCCGGGGCAACTAGATAATGGAAGTTTGAACTTATTCAAGTTTAATTAGTTTAAACTGAAACAGTCACATGAGGCCAGTGGCTACTGAGTTTCAAGGTATACCATCAGCCTCAGGGGAAAAAATAAAAGATAAGGTGATGTCCCCAACAGCCTCCCCACTCAGAGCTCTATCACTGGCCTTCCTGCAAGGAAGAGAAGCACAGTCCAGGGGACGGAGACCCACATGTCTGTCCCTAGCCGCGGAGAAGGGAAGGGCCCACTGCCTCCCACAGCGGAAAGACAGCTGTGTGCAGAGGAATGGGAGCAAGAAGGGAGGGTTTCAACCGCATGGGATCACAGCTAGAGGAAGACATCAGAGGGGCAGTGTGAGGTCATTTTTTGGAGGACACTTCAGAACGTAGCTGATTCAGTGAGGGAAGCACGCTAAGTGATTCTGCAGATGGAAATGCCTAGAACCAACTCACTCAGCAGGAAGTACGTGATCAGATTCACACAGCATATTTAAAACAGTAGGTTCTGCAATTTAAAAAACTCTAATTCTCTCTCACTTTTTTTTTTTATTTTGAAAGAGTATGACTTTAAATTTCTGGGCTCAAATGATCACCCATCTTCAGTCTCTCAACTAGGACCACAGGTACATGTGGCCACACCAGGTAGAAGGTGTATTTTTATTTATTTATTTTTTTCAGTACTGGGGATTGATCCAGGCAGGTACTTGGTCAATGACCTTTGTTGCCAGCCTGAGTTACACACTTCAAGTGAAAGAACAGGTATTCTAATTAGATCTTAATAAAGATGAATTTTTAAAAAGCTGATGAAAATTAGCTGGGCATGAATGCACACCTTCAATCCCAGCACTCAGGAAATCTGTGTGTTTGAGGCCAACTGTCTATATAATGAGTGCTTGGACAGCCAGAGTTATGCCATGAAACAAACAAACAAACAGAACAGAACAGAACAGAACAGAACATCCCGACAATATTCCCAAACCTTGATGAGAAAAGAACTCAAGTTGGGTGTGGTGGTACATACCCAAATCCTAGGACGCCCAAGGCAGGAGGGCTGTGAATTTAGGCTAGCCTGGACTATGTAGCAATAAGCTATCTTAAAAAAAGGAAGAATGAGGAGGAGGAAAAAGAGGGGGAGAAGAGAGATAAGGGAGGAGAGGGAGGTTTCATATAAACCCCTTAAATGTTCAATTCTCCTATTCTTTTCTGGCTGAGGGTTTGAACCCGGGGCTCTCACACGCCATTTCAGTGATTTCTGTGAGCTATAGCCAAACTCCAACACACTCTCAGAGCCAAGGGAAGAGGCTGAGGACCAGCATCCAGGCAGGTGTTTCAACATTCAGCATTCTATGCAGAACCACTCTCTGAGGAGGGTTCAGGTGCACAGCGCACAGTGCGAGACTCACCCAGGGCTGAGACAGCGAAATGCATACATACCTCTTCTAGGCTGAGTTGCAGGTACTCAAAGATCCTGTATGGGTTTCTCCGGCACACCAGTCTCTTTCTTTGAAGCAACTACAAGGAAGGAAGGAAGAAAGGAAGAGAATCAACCACCTGCACACAGGTGAGCACCACCTGTCACGAAGACTGAATCCACAAACAAACACTTTATACACTCAATGCTGACACACTGCTGTGTAAAACAACCTTCGTGGAAAAGGAGGGTCTGGTTTTTCTGCTGCTAACACTATCCCATGGATTGTCCCTGTAGATGTGACAACTCCACAGCTGAACAGTGTCTCCCGCGCCCAAGCTGTGTACCTGTTCTTAGATGTCAAAATCTTCATCCTCTTAGCTGTACCCGAGATCAGGCAATTACACTGTGTTTCTTCTCCCAAACAAGACACAGAGAATTACTTGTTTTAACTTAGTTGTAAAAAATTTTGTTTAAAATTTGAATTTAGTGGAAACTGTCCGCACAATTGCCGTGCAACAGGGGCTGGGCTTCAGTGTTGGCCTCAGCAGCACCATACAGGCCCAGAGCGACAGCAGGCCTGCCCAGTAGTGAGTGAAGGGCACCCAGTGGGCAGACATCTGCTGGCCAGCAGCAGGTGGCTGTGGAGGAATGACGGACAGTCTTGTATCTCCAGGGGACATGTCCCCAAAGTCCTGGGGGACGCTGCAACAGTGGGTAGCACTGACCCCACTGCTATACCCTTCCTATCCGCATCCAGTCACAGCCGAGTCTGTGTCAGTGAGGGACTAACAGTGACAGAGAGCAAAGTGAGAGCTGAAACGGATGCGGACTCTCTCTTTACAAAGCCAAGACCGACAGCAGCGTCCTCAGACTGGCCGATGGTCACTGACGCTCAGAGGGAGCATGGTACTTTGTTCTACATACCTTGTCATCTGAGGCCTCCTCCTCCTGGACATCACACGGCTCTTCCTCAACGAGCACATACTCGTGAGCAGCCCTTTGCTCTCCTGCCACCTGGCTGCTGTCATCAGGCCAAATGCCATCCTGGCAGGGGACCTGGGGCAGAACCGTGGTGTCCTCTATCACATGTCCATTAAGGCTGGACGGACATGCCACAGTGAGTGTGGCATGGCCAGGCCCCTGTGGACAGTCCGAGCGTGTGCTGAGACCCTCACCCTCTGATGGTCCAGCATCTCCAGTGGTCACAGAGAGTTTGTCCTTTCCCACTCTGCCTTCCAGGGAGGAGCTGGCCTCGGAGTTGAGTGGATCACGCTGTGGGGCCTCTTCTTTCCCCTTTCTGCAAGGAGGCTCAAGTGGTTCTGTGTAGTCTCTAAGGATCTTCTGCAGAGTGCTCTCATCCTGGCCCTGTCTACGCATGAAGTCCATGGCCCATTCCACTCGACGCTGATACCTGCCAACAGAAACACCGGCAATAACACACCCGTCTCAACTCTAAGACAACAAAATGACCAAGAAGCCTACAAGATGGCCTGGGAAGACGCTGAGTTTTCCTGAACGGTGGATTACAGGCAGAGCTTGCCTCCTTCACATTCTCCCACTTCTAACTGTCCAGCCACAAGCATGGATCACTGGCCCTTTGATATCATTTGCTTACTTTAACAGAATTAACCCCCATTTAACAAAGTGTGAAAATTTATATAATTTAAAACCAAGAGACGCTGGTAAATAAGGCAGAGAAAATACCACCTTTTACTGGGATCCATTTTGACTTATTTTTAATCTTGGTTATCACATTGTTCCTTAAGGCACCCCTTTCATAGTATAGGCCCTTCGTTTATAGCACTGGAACGTGAATTTGAATCAATGTTTTTCACAGCACCCAAGAACATCATTGGATAGGGAAAGAAATGATTTGCCTTATATATGGCTCGACTTTGCTTTCTGTTGAAACACTTTGACCAAAGGCAACTTGGGGAGGATGGGGTTTATTTCACCTTAGAGCTTACAGGCTCCATGAGGAAGCTGGGGCAGGAGCTCCAGGCAGGACCCGGAGGCAGGAATGGAAGGAAAGGCTGTGCAGCAACTTTGTTTACCAGCAGCTCACTCTCTAGCTCGGGGTCAGCTAGCTTTCCTATACAGCTCAGGCCCACCTGCATAGGGATGGCACCACCCACTGTGGTCTAGACCCTCCTCCATCAGTTGAGAAAATGCCCTGTAGACTATTCTGACAGAAGCCACCAACTGAGGTTTCCTCTTCCCATGTGTCAAGCTGATATTCAAGATTAGCCACCACTAATTATAAATTCCCCATAAGAATCTTGAGAGTATAGTAACATATTAAATTTATACACTCCGAGGGCTGAGCACTCACCAAGGTACAAAGACTATGGTGAAGACAACAGTGTTGTATCAGGACATTGCTGGTCTGCGTTCCTGTGACATCAGAACCTGCTGCCAACCAAAGACCAGCAGAAGGCTGACCACAGCAGCCAACATCCATGGCTCTGCCCTCGACCAAGAAGACACATGTAATTTCATTCCTCTCCTTATTACACCTGTGTTCAGATGCCTAGATATATCAGGGTGCAGGAACTGTCGTGCCTCATATGATCCAGCAGGCAAATTGTCTTTGCACCCAGAAAGACCTGTGTATGCTTCCCCTTGGCTCATCAGAACCCCAAGCTGTTCACATTGGTCTTCCTACACATGGATGACCATACATCCCTGCCGGTGGCCATGTCAGAGGAGCAGCAGGTGGCAATAGAAGTTTATGGTGTTGGTGTAGGGTAAAAGGGACAACTGGAGCAGGAAACCAACCAATCACTAAGCACCCTGACTCTAAACCCAGAGCCAGTGAAAGAAACATCTTTATCCCTGAACTCAGAACTAAAGACATGTGTCCTGGCTCTGAAACTAGTGTCAAAGAAACACACTTTGTCCCTAGAATTAGAGCCAGTGAAAGAAATATGTCCTGGTCCTAAGATTAAAGTCAAAAAGCTAAAAAGGACCAGTGCAAGAAACACAGTTTGGCTATGAAGTCAGGGCCATCTCTGCCCCTGACCAGATAAACTGACCAATCTCTGAGTAGGGAAAAAGTAACCAATCCCGTCTCCCTGGAAAAACTCTGCCCCTAAGAAGCCCTACATAAGCCTCTCCACCCCTTCAGTTAAGAGCTGCCCTGGCGGACAGCCACTCTCCTGAATGCCTCCTTCCCAAACAAATCTCTTTTTCAAAAGAGTCTTGGGTGATGACCTTCATTTGCTAGTACAAAGCAGAAGAACCTGGCTGGGACATCTCTAGGGGACTGAGCTGAAAAACCCTGCTGAGACCTCCCTAGGGGGCATCAGCAAGGTGGAGCACAACAGAACATCCTTGCTAGGACGCTACTTAAGGGGGCTGAGCAAAGCCAGCAGAAGAAAAGTAACAACTTTTTGAGGGAGCCAGAAGAGATTGCTACATTTCTGCAGGGGGCTTCCCTTTAGCAGAGTGTTAGCAGAAGAAACATCTTGGGCTAGAGAAGAAGCAGATAGCTCTGCTAGGACGCTCTGTAAGGGAGCAGAGCAGACTTCAGCTGTAGTGGTTCTCTAGAAGAGCAGGATCATTATATCCTGCGGGGAGACCATCCCCCACCTCACCCCAGCTTCAGAGGTCCTGGCTTCCTGATAGTCAGGACATCTTTCCTCCAGGGCTGAGCTGTCCTATTGCAGCTCTGGAGGCCAGAGGCTGTCCTTTTGCGGTTCTACCCCACTAGAGCTGATCTTTTGTGGTTCTACCCCTCCAGAGCTGTCCTATTGTGGGCTAAGTATATCCTGGCTTCCCAGTAAGTCAGGATATCCCAATACCACTACTGCAACACATTCCCCTATAGTTGGCCCACCAAGAGGTAACTCTGATGTGTGAATCTCTTTTAGGCAAGGTCACGGGACTACAGACTCTAGAATGTCCTTTGTTTCTGCTGTACCTTTACATGCTTGTTACTGCAATATTCCTCTGGTATCTAGTGTGAGTGGATGTGGGGAGATCTCCACGGCCTGTAATATAGTGAGTTTATTTCTTGGAAACATCCCATTCTACTGGGCATTTTAATCTGTGGGTTGTCAAGATGACCCCTTCCTAAGCTGTACTGTTTAAACTGATAATAATAATGATAGCCCATACAGACCTTTGATGAATAAAAGTAAATACAAGGCTATGTTTCACATCCAGGGCCTGTGAGTTTCACCTAAGGAGCTGCACAGACTAGCAACTGAGTCCCAGTAGCCCAGCTAGTTTAAATTCTTTTAACCTTAATGTTGGGCAATGTGTTCGGTTTCACAGTGAATCACAGCTGAAAGAAAGCTTTGAAGATAACCAAGTTAGACTAATATGTTCTTGCCAGAAAGCTTTGAGGTGAAAAAAACCCAAGAGGACAACCAAAAGCTTTAGAAAGGCCCACAATTGAATGTGGAACTGTTAAGGTCAGGGAATGAGAACGAAGCAGCCCAATTATCATTAGCTGACTAATTCCTTATACCCATTTCTGCCCTCAGTCTCCTGATAGAAAACTACTAATGGGTGGGTATGGACCCTAAAGATTTAAAGAGGAGCTGGTTGATTCTTTTTCATATATGAAAGTTTAGGTTTGTGAATCCTTTAAGATTATTTCAAGTTAAGTAATAAAGTAATTGGCCCTTTCTTTGTAACCACAAAATGCAAACTGCCAGTAAAAGACCTAACTGAGAAGAACACCTTGCTTGCCCACACAGTTAACTTATAACAAATTGCTTGGATATGAATGCATGCGGGTTCTTGGGATGTTTTTCACCTGTAATACATAATGTTTAATCATGTAGGAGACATGAAAACCATGTTTTAACCAGTATTATTCATTATAATAATTTATTTGAAAAATAGGATGTAACCACGTTGTCAGTCCTATACTGCCTGAAAAATTTTGTTGGGGTATATAAGCTACATACAACTGAGAAAGAACATGGAAAGAACATGAGAACAGAGAATAAAGAAGGAAGTCATCAAGAGAGTGTGTGTCTTTTCCCCCAACCCCCTCAGATAGAAAAGTCTTAGCTTAGGCCGCTGACTCCGTGGGTTCTTTTCACAGCCCTGTGCTGCTGGAGGCTGGCACCCCACAGAGCAGAACATCCCTGTACATTGGGACTGAATCTTTGACTCATTTGTTTATTGTTATTCTGGGGATTGGACTTAGGGCCACAAGCAAGAGCAACTATCTACCACTGGGCATATCCCCCTCCTTTTTTGAGACAGGATCTTTCTGAGTTGCCCAGGCTGGACTTGAACTTGCCAATTCTTCTGCCTTGGTTCCTTGAGTAGCTGGTATTACAGGTCTGCACCACCAGGCTGGGCTGAATCTTATATTTAAAGACCAGAACATGGCAGGCAAGGCTACTCTAAAACCTGTAGGATTACAGTATAAAACATGGAGGATCTCACGCTTGGGATTTAGCCTGAACTCCATCATTTACTACTGTAGATTACTTAGCTTTTGTTTCCATTTCCTCCCCCACAAAACTGGGGATACTAGCCTACTGCCTCAGAGAGATCTTGTTACATACAACCTTTTGTCATTAGGGGACATGGTGGTCCAGTGACCAACATACACACATAGCAGAAAAGCTGGAAAGATCTAGAAAGACGTTTTCTTGTGCTAGCAAGTGTAGATTCCTTGACTTAAAAATGAGACTTAGTCACAGTGGTGCCAGTGTGTTACACCAGCAAAGAGAAGGCTGAGGCAGGGAGACTGCATGCTTTAGGCTAGCCTAAGCTACAAGGTAAGACCTCAGGTATGAAAAAACAAAATCAAAAGCATAGAAAAAAAAGTAAAACCCTAAAACCAAAACACATAGAAAGAGCCACTTAACTGAGGTCCAGCCATCCCCTCCTTTGCACAGAGCCAGAGTAAGCAAACACACAGGGCTCTGCTCCACTCTGTGCAGCCACCTGGGCAGGGCAGATGTGGCATCAGACCCTTGCTCCACACAGACTCATGCATGCTGTGTGACCCTCCCTTTTCAGACTCAGGAACTCACCTACAAACTCAGGGTGCCACCTCAGGGGGTTGTGACAGGGTGAACTGAGAGGAGGCTTGTGAAGTGTGCAACACTTCTTGGGTAGGAGTTACACATCTGCTTTCTTGCTGCAAGGGCTTCAGGGTAGCATAAAACACAGCTCAGTTTGTCTCGGTGCACACTGTATTAAAACCTACATGTGGCCCTGGACCTGACTCTTCTGAGTCTGAGTTAGCCTATGGCACCTCTGCTTCTCCCCTCTTCTGCCACATGCCACAACCACCACACTCCCACCTCGTCATATCTCAGATGTCCTAATACTACAACATGAGTGGCCACAGGATTGTGAGGAAGAAATCCCAAGTAAGGCCAGAGATGAAAGAGACAAACAGCAGATAGCCTAGGTGTGTGGCATGTGGTCCCAGAGTGCTGTCCTCCTATTGGCTGAACTCCTTAAAAAGTCCTCTGGAGGAGGGTAAGAACAGAGAAGAGTTAGGTGTCAGGGAGCAGACGGGAGAAGGGCAGAGGGAGGGGGGACAGCTAGAACTTGAAGCAAACTCACTCAAGGTGGCAAGAACCCCACACCTCTCAGGCTCCAGGCCCTGATCATGCCTCTCCACTGGCCAGACACCCTCCTCTACCTGATCATCTATTATCTGGGCCACTCCAGAGCTGGCTCTGGAAGGCCCGGCCCAATTCTGAACTCAAATCCCAGCACTCAGGAGGCAGAAGCAGGCAGATTTTTTTAGGAGTTTGAGGTCAGCCTGGTCTACAGAGCGAGTTCCAGGACAGATTCCAAAGTTATACAGAGAAACCCAGGAAAAACAAAAACAAAAACAGATGCCAAGATGTTACTTCAATTGATCGTCACTTCCCTGAGTGACAGTCTTCCAACCTCTGTGACCAAGTGAGGAACTTAACTTCCTATGGTTTAGCTCCTCACCTGCAGAACATGGACATCAAGAGGATTGAGGGATTGGATCTTCATGGGCTGGGTGACGACTTAGGAGACCAGAGAGACGTCTATCACGTGCACAGCACCTCTCATAAACATGCCCCAGCATCAGTGCCGTGAATAGCTGCTTTATTGTTCTCGTGTGTCAATGCCTCTCACTCTGGAGCTGAGCCCATTTAGTCACGAGAAAGCTAGTCCATTAGTCTATCTTTTCAATCTAGGATGAGGTCATCTGGACCGGTGTACTTAAGAGAAGGAAGGATACACACACACACACACACACTGTTGGAAGCAGGGACTGGTCAAGAAGACTGAGGACTGCAGGATCATTGTAAGCCTAGATTAGCAGGAAAAGCCCTCCCACGCCCTCCAGAGGGAGGTAGCCCTGCCAAAACCTGCACTTTGGTCGTTTGGCTTCTAGAACTGAAGATCCAGTTCTGTTGTTTTGCATCACCGCGTCTGCAATCCTTTGGGCTGGCAGCCGAAGGTAACACACACGAGAAGAGGAAACACTGCTGGGCCCTCATGCTGCAGACACTGCAGTGCTGCTGAGTGGTGGTCTTGGGGGAGGTGGGACTCACTTCCTCAGACAGGCTGACCTCATGTCATCTACACAGCAAGACTGATGAGGAGAGATCTTCAGTCGCTGTCTTGTTTGTGAATCCTAGCTTTGAGTGCAGTGACCTGTGTACTGTGGCCCTTTTGGGATGGGAGGTCTGCCAAGTTCTAAGTCCCACTCCCAGCCTAACCTGGGAATATATACCTCCCTGACAGTCTGTTGCCAGCAGGGCACAGGGTTGTGAGAGTCTGCTATTGCGAGGCTCTACAGAAGGGCTGGGGTCTGAACTAGAGCATAAAAATAAGAGCTGGGAGGAATAGACCCCTATTTTGTTTTATGAGAAAGGGATGTGCTGGCTAGTTTTAATGTCAATTTGACACAGGCTAGAATCATCTGAGAGAGGGGAACCTCAATTAAGAAAATGCCTCCATAAGACAGGGCTGTAGGCAAGTCTGTAGAACATTTTCTTAATTAGTGATTGATGGGGGAGGGCCCAGTCTATTGTGAGCGGTGCCATCCCTAGGCTGGTGGTCCTGGGTTCTATAAGAAAGCAGGCTGAGAAAGCCATGTGGAGCAAGTTAGTCAGCAGCACTCCTCCATGGCCTCTGCATCAGCTCTGCCTCCAGGTTCCTGTCCTGTTTGGATTCCTGTCCTGATTCCCTTCCATGATGAACAGTATTGTGGAAGTGTAAGCCAAATAAACCCCTTCCTTCCCAAGCTGCTTGGTCATGGTGTTTTATCACAGCAATAGTAACCCTGACCAAAGCGAGGGGTTTACCCTGTAGTCCAGGCTGGACTAGAACTCACTATGTAGACCAAGCTGGCCTTGTACTCACAGCAATCCTGTCTCAGTGCTGAGATTACAGGTATGAGCCACCACTTAGGCCCAGTCTTATCAAGGGACCAGTAAGTCCAGGGTACAGAGATGCCAGGTATGGCCTTGATATCCTGGAACTGACTCCAAACCTAAGCAAGTGAGAGATGGGACAGAGAGAAGGGCTGTAGACCCAACATCCGGGCAGTAGAGGGGACCACAGGGGAGAAATTAACAGGAGAGGTAATGAATGCATGGGCAGGACAAGGATACGCTGGGATTAGATGGGCATCATATGGGTGCCTGAGGAGCCAGGGGAAATGCTTCCAGAATGTCTAAGAGGGGCTGATGGGGAGTTCTGTGAAACCCTCTGGCCCTACAGTGTGTAGAGCAAGCAAGAAGGCAGGACCATCTGCCCACATGGGTGGGAGGCCTACTCAGAACCCAAGTCCCGGTGTCTCTGGACTTCATAACACATTCTCGACATGGCAGCGGGAGGCTGACCTGAACAAGCAACACATTTCAGATGGGATTTGAGCCACATTAAGCTCAGTTTCAGTTTTCAAGTATTATCCTCTGTCAGGAGAAAACAAAGACACCAGGTTGTGCCACACAGACTAACCCAGCCCCACCAGAGCCAAGGTCACCCTCACTTACTTCTCTGAGGTGATTATAGGCATGTCTGTCTGCACACCTGGAACAGAAAGACGTTCTATTAGTTCCAGACAGACTTCCTTAGAGGGAACAAAACCCACTTTAAAAAGACAGGTAATTTCGAGATCCCGTCATACATTTGGATGGTGATGTGTATCGGCCACAGCCGGCTTGTTCTGATGGCCGCCCTCCCCTGCACCCACATCCTCCTGCTGGCTCAGATGGGCCCTCAGAGCCTTAGCCCCAGCTCAGAAGTACAGATATGTGAGGGGACCGTTCATCCGTCAGAACACTTGGGCCCTGTGTATGAGCTTAGCAGGAAGGGCTGCAGAGACACTTGATGGTGGTGAAGTTTGGGGTATGGGGCTGGGGGCTCCAGCTCTACTGCTGGGTGCCAAGTAGGACCAGCCCTTTCTTCTAAAGTGTGTTTCAAGTCATTCAGCAGCCTTGCTTTTACTCCTGGGACCCCCTCAATCTGCCTTGAGGAAAGTTGTCTCCTTTCTCAAATTCAGCACTGTGGTGGTCTGAATGAGAAAGGCCCCATAGACTCACAGATTTGTACTACTTGGTCACCAGGAAGTGGCGCTATTTGGAAGTGTGGCACAGAAAGTGTGTCACTGGCTTCGAGGTTTCAAAAAGCCCATTCCAAGCCCAGATTCTCTCTCTTCCTGCTGCCTGTGGATGTAGAACTCTTAGCTACCTCTCCATCAACATGTCTGCCTGCATGCTCCCTGCCATGATGACAACGGACCAACCTCGGAACTGTAAGACAGCCGCATTTAAATGCTTTCCTTTATAGGAGTTGCTATGGTCATGGCATCTCTTCACAGCAATAGAACACCAAGATAAGTCTCATCTGCAGGTTAAGAAGGCGTGGCAGGAGGCTGTTCAGTTTAGGAAGGAGGCAATGAGTCTGTTGAGGAGGAGGGATGGATTCTGGGGCAGTTTATGAAGCAGAGGCACTCTGACAGGAGAAAATGGCCAAAGTCTCTTCCACAAGGCTTGAACAACAGGTGACTATTCCCTAAGAGAGGTACCACCAGCGTGGTTATATAACCAACTGGATATACCTAGCCGATTGTTTAAAAAAAAAAATTGTTGGGTGGTGGTGGCACACAGCTTTAATCCTGGTACTTGGAAGGCAGAAGTAGGAGGACCTCTGTGAGTTCAAGGCTAGCCTGATCTACAAATTGAGTTTCAGGACACCCAGAGTTGTTACATAGGCAAACCCTGTTTCGAAAAGACAAACAACCTTAATCCCCACTCCCTAAAAAAACCCAAAACAAAAAAAGAAGTATCTATCTATCTATCATCTATCTATCTATCTATCTATCTATCTATCTATCTATCTATCTATCTATCTATTTATTTATCTTGAGGCAGAGTCAATTATGTAGCTTTGGTTGTCCTGGAACTTTCTATGTAGATCAGGCTGGCCTTGAATTCACAGAGTTCATCCTGTCTCTGCCTCCAGAGTACTGGGATTAAAGGTGTGCACTACTGTGACTGGCTTTAAGACTTTAAAATTTTTATTTATGTGCACTGTGTGTGTGTGTGTGTGTGTGTGTAGGTTTGGGGTGGGGGTGGGGGCAAGCTCCTAGAAGAGGGAGTCTAATCTCGTGGAGCTGGAGCTCAGACAGTTGGGACCGGGAACCAAACTTAGGTCCTGGGAAACAAAAGTGCTCTTAATGGCCAAGCCATCTTCCCAGCTCCTAATATTTCTACAAGGAAGAATTACTTTGAAATACTTAAGTTTCACACATATACAATGTATCGATGAGCTTTCCAAGGCAGAGCTGTGATGCCTGGCCTCACTCCTGGGCTCCACCACACTGCTTTTGCAATGTGATGTACAGAATACAGGACGTTCACACACTAGGCAAATCCTGTACCTCTGAGTGACAGGGTCTTGCTATGTAACACGGGAGCCTCAAAATCACAGCGATTGTCCCGTCTCAGTGCCTCCAGCGCTGAGATTTCTGTGTGTCTCACCATGCCTGGCTTATGTGTTCATTCCAGTATTTATTTATTTAGACAGGGTCCATTAGCAGGTAGCCTAGGCTGCCTTCAACTCACAATCCTCCTCGCAGTCTCCCAAATACTAGGATTACAGAACTGCACAGCCATGCTTGGTCTTGTCCTTCCTTTTCATCTGGCATACAAAACACAGAAGCTGTACTAACAATGTGTAACCTAACTACACATGTGCACTTGTGTAATTTTTCAGTCAGGTATAATATCTACCTCCTCAAACTCTTTCATCTTCAAAAATACTAAGTATGGGTTGCTGTTAAAAAATTGTTTAATAATGTGTATCAGTGTTTTGTCTGCATGAATGCCTGTGCACTGTGTGTATGTAGAGGCCAGAAAAGGACACTGGCTCCCCTGGGGCTGGTGCTGCAGATTGTGAGCGGCCATAAGGGAGCTGGGAACTGAACCCGTGTCCTCTGCAGGAGCAGTCAGTACTCTTGATGGCTTAGCCATCTCTTTAGCCCCCAAATACATACTTCTTAGGCCTCCATTTTGCATCACCCACAGCTCACAGCCTGACCCTCTCATTTAATAACATCACAGTAAGCCCTCAACATTACTGTAATCTACATTTTGTTTTGTTTTTTCTTCTTCTTTTCTCTTTTTGGTTTGTCAAGACAAGTTTCTCTGTGCAGCCTCGGCTGTCCTGAAACTCACTTTGCAGACCAAGCTTGGCTCCAAACTCAGAAATCTGTCTGCCTCTGCCTCCAAGTGCTGGAATTAAAGGTGTGCACCACCACTGCCCAGCTTATGTATTTCTTTACATGAACACACTAGTGCTTGCAATCCACACCTTCTCCTTCAACTGGGTTGTTTCTGTTCTTCAAGTATTACAAACAGGGCCTCAGAGAGTCTGTGCGGCTTTTCTTCCTATTTGCTCCAGTGTATTGTTAAGATAAATCTAGGTTACAGGGAGAACACAAATATAATTTTGCCAAATTCCCTTTGTAAGCGCTGAATGTTTGCACATGCGTGTGTGTGTGCATATACACACACACAAACACACACACCTCTACCTGTGGTGATAGAGGTTTGCCATGGACTCACCAACTCAGCACACAGTCAGGCTTTTGGGACGTGAGCAGCTGCTGAACTAATACCTCAGTGTCTTACATGGATCACCTTACAACCCCACCCCTTGTTTTTTTTTCTCTAGCTGGTAATCCTGTCTCAGCTTCCTACTTGCTGGGATTATAGGTCTGAACCACTATACCAGCAGTTCTCAACCTGTGGGGCATGACCCCTGTGGGGGGTCACATGTCAGATATCCTATATATCTCAGATACTAACAATATGATTCATAACAGTAGTAAAATTACAGTTATGAAGTAGCAAAATAATTTTATGGTCAGGGGTCATCACAACATGAGGAGCTGTATTGGATTAAAGGGTTGCAGCATTAGGAAGGTTGAGGACCATTGTACTGAAGTTAGCCCTAAAGAAATCCTATCTATCTATCTATCTATCTATCTATCTATCTATCTATCTATCTATTTATTTATTTATTTATTTTTCAAGACAGGGTCTCACTATGTATCCCTGGCTGTCCTGGAACTCACTATGGAGATCAGGTTGGCCTTGAACTCACAGAGATCCACTTGCCTCTGCCTCCCAAGTGCTGGGATTAAAGATAAATATTATTATGCCTGGCAATTCTTTTATGTCTTAACCTTCTGGTATTATTTATAAGGATGCCTTGGAAAATGTATTAGAAGAAAAGAATTGTAAATTAAAGAGTTATGCACATTAATTAGTTTTGGGTTTTAAACTCCATTTATTCGTATGTGTAGGTCTGTGATGCCGTTTCATGTGTGGACTCCTTCCACCATATGGGTCTGTGATGTCTACTTTTGGAATTAACTAAAACTCAAGCAGCTGGGCACACAGGTGAGGGAATTTTCATGATTCGATTATTTGTGGTGGGAAGACCCACCCTAAATGTGGGCCACACCTTCTGGTGGCAGCCTACATTAAGAGGACATGAAAGAAGGAAGCTCGTGCTTTTCACCTGCTAGCCTCCACTGTCACCGGCAAGTTCCTCTCCCCTGGAGCCCACTTCCTTCGGATTCCCATGTATACTAAAGCCCGGCCGAGACATCAGCATCATGGGCTGAACTACTGAATTCTTGGACTTTCTGTCAGGAGACAGACAGCCACTGTTGGATTAGTGGACCATAGCCTGTAAGCCACACTAATAAATCACTCACACACACACACACACACACACACACACACACACACACACGCACGCACGCACGCACGCGCGCACTCATTCTATCAATTCTGTTGCTCTAGAGAACCCTGACTAACTCAGGTCATAAGGGTGGGTGGCAGGCATTTTTATCCACCAAGTTGCCTCACCACCAACCAACCCCATGTTCAACAATGCCAAGGCTATTGCAAATTCTACCTCTGCAAATAAAACCCCAGCCTCATTCTGACAGTAGCACAGGCAGGCAGAACTTCATACACACATCATCCTACCAGGCAAGGCATAACAAAAAAGCCAGAATAACACTTTCCCCTGTCTTCTGAGGTGCAAAGGATGGAAATCAGGGCAGTGTGTGTGAGCAGGACTTGTGACTATTCCAAGGAATGTGAAACACATTTCCAAGAATCAGAAGGATCTTTCTGCCTGGTCTGCTGGTACATGGGAGAGCCTGAGTTCAGGGCCAGCCTGGGCTAAGTACTGAGCCATTCTTAGTCAAACTGAAACAAAACCAAGAACTGTTTTGATGTAATTCTTGTAGGCGATCTTCCAGGCAGGAACACTGTCAGTGTGCCTCTCTTCCAGAACTTACCATCTCACGAAGACATGTAAGCGTCAAACAAAAGCTGCAGGCCTTACCTTTCCATCTGGCAGCCAGCTTAGGATTGGAGATCGTGAAGTTTGGACGGCTTCTTGAAAGAATGCCTTTTCCAAAGTAACCCTTCCAAGAAGAAAACATGGTCAATGCTCAGTTGTTAGGACTATTCAACAGCCCCATGTTTCCTTGATTCTCTAATGCTCATACAGTCCCACCTCTGAGGTGTGTGGTGTATGTAGGTGTTCATGTATACGTGTGCACACGTCTGCATGCCAGCAATATTGAGTGTTTCCCGTGGGTACCGGGGTCTGAACTTAGGACCTCATGTACTTTACTCATAGATCATCTCCAAGCCCCACAGATTTCAGTACCAGCTCGCCCATGTGATGAGGAACCATTTTGGCTTGTGTCTGGCATCTGAAGGCACCAGAGCCAGCTTCTTCTCACATGTGGCCAGGAGTGCACTGGATGAGGGGGCAGGAAGTATTCCTTGGATTACATCCTACTCTGGACTGAAAGTATCCTTCCCTTTCCTGCTGATTCCCCCAAAATACACACTTCCCCCGCTTTTGACTATCAACAAGCATAAAAAAATAAAATTATAATAGATGATTAAAACGTACCCGGCCTATGATAATCCTCATTCCACCTTGCACACTGTGAACAAAGGTCTCAGCAGTGAGCTGAAGGCAGACAGGGACCAGCAAGGCCTTAACGCACCAGAGCCCACTGACCTTACTGCAAACTCTAGAGAAGGTAGAAGAGAGGCAGGGTGCCCACCGGTTGTCCTGTCCTGGGGTGGGAGCAGGGCTTGGTGTCACAGGCATGAGTGACTGCAGTGGGGCTGGCAGGTACAGCTCAGGGGAGGAATACAAGACCCTTGGGCCAATCCCCAGCACCAAAGCAAACACACAAATACTAAGACTGGACTGTGGCGATAGGGAGCCACTCTATAGGTTCACGATGTCACTGAATGAAAGGTATGCTCATGAGGGTGAACTCTTGGCTATCAGCTACGCCTCATCTGGGCTGCTTAAAAAGTTACTTTTGCTAGTTACTTTAATCCCTGCACTAGGGAGACAGAGGCAGGCAGATCTCTATGAGTTTAGGGCCAGCCTGGCCTATAGAGCAAGTTCCTATGGCCAGAACTACACAGAGAAACCATGTTTCAAAAAATAAAAACAAAGACAAAACAAAACACAAAAACAAACGAAAAATCCATTCCTTTAAATTTCATGTGTATGGGTGTTTTGCCTGGATGTATGTATATACTATGTGTGTCTGGTGTCTTCAGAGGCCAGGAGAGGGCACTAGATCATCTGGATGGAATTACAAATGGCTGCTGGAGGCCAGACTGGTGCTGTGGATTGGATCTAGGGCCTCTGGAAGAAGAATCTTCACTGCTGAGCCATCTTTCCATAAGGCTGCATTTTAAAATGCCTCAGTGATTAAAAAAAAAAAAAAAAGATATGGGGAGTGTACTGGGTTGAAGGTCGGGGGAAGCCAGCTACCACTTGAAGTCCATAACTGCCAGTAATGTGGGAGTCCCCTCTGTGTGCTATGATTACCATTAATTGGTGTAGGAGGTCCTTCTGTATTTGTATTCTTTCATTAGTTGAATAAATTGCCTTGGCCTTTCGATAGGGCAGACTTAGATAGGTGGAGTAGACAGAACAGAATTCTGGGAGGAAGAAGGCAGTGTGGCAGATGCCATGATTCTCCTGCCTGAGATGGATGCTGGTTAGACTCATGCCAGTATGCCACAGTGGAGATACACATTAATAGAAATGGGTTAATCAAGATGTGAGAGTTAACCAATAAGAGGCTAGAGCTAATGGGCCAGGCAGTGTTTAAATGAATACAGTTTTTGCGTGATTATTTCGGGTGTACGCTAGCTGGGTGGGATGGAACAAAGGGCCCTGCGCTCCATACTACAATTAACGAATAAAGAAACTGCCTTAGCCTGTTGATAGGGCAGAATTTAGGTAGATGGGGAAGCTGGACTGAATGCTGGGAGAAAGAAGGGCGGAGTCAGAGAGATGCCTTGGATCTGCCGCCAGAGATAGACTTGCTGAAACTTTGCTGGTAGGCCACAATCTCGTGGTGAAGCACAGATTAATGGAGATGGGTTAAACTAAGATGTAAGAGTTAGCCAATAAGAAGTTAGAGTAATGGGCCAAGCAGTGATTTAAATAATTACAGTTTCTGTGTGATTATTTCGGGTGTAAGCTGTCTGGGTGGCCGGAAAGAACAAGTGGCCCTCCCTCCAACCAGAACTAGAGGCTGTCCTCATCCAACAAGTCCCCAGGACAGAAAGAGAGCAGACACTTTGGGGAACTTCCCACAGGCCCTAATCCACTGGGGAGGATCTCCAGTTTTACCCATTACATTTCTGTAAATTACTTGCTTGTCTTTAATATAAATGGTTTCATCCTACGTGGTGCTAGGATGAGGGTTTGTGGCGAGGCGTGTAGTTCTTAGCCCCACAGCCGAGGTCCCCAGGGTCCCCAGGCTCACCTTCCCGTACAGCTGCTGCATGTCCTCCACGCCCCTCACCACCACGTTGTTGCTGATCATTTCAGCTCGGAATATTCGGAATTCCTTCCTGGAACCTTGGTCCTCACCAAAGGGGATGGGCAGTGGTGACTCGTAACTCTCATACACTCTTCTTTTCCTCTTCGGGGCACGGAAGACTGCCTCTGCCATTCTTCAAGGATAACAGGCCTCTAGAGGAGAGAGAACCAGACAGTAACCACGGACCAACAGGGCTAGCACACTCAGAACCCGGTTATGTGGTCTCTGGGGGAAGGCAGAACTAAAAGACTCCATGTGACTAGGTCATGACGGCACAGATGGGTAACCAGGGGTATCTCAGAGCCTGAGACCTCCAAGAAGCTAGGGCCATCACCTAAGCGAAGCTGGCAGCACCAAGGCCTACCTCACACCCTGAGGATTCCTGTCTTTAAGGACAACATACTTTCCTTTCCTTGATCAAGAGGCATTCAGAGACCCCCAAGGACTGCTAATCAGATGTATGGGTGTGAGTGTGTGTGTGAAGATAAAGCCAAGCAAGAATGTATCCTCAGTGGAGTGAGTCTGGTTAGCTCTCCATCTTCCAAAGACCGACCTTAAGGTACATTGTAAGACCTGGGGTGGTCAGTTCTCAGTGGTTTTTTTTGTTTTTGTTTGATTGTTTGCTTAATTGAGACAAGATCTTGTGTAATGCAGGCTGATGAACTCACTATGTAGGTGAGGATGACCATGAACTCCTGGACCCCCTGCTTCTACTTCCCAAGTGCTGGGATTTGAGATCTGAGTGATTTAAGGGCCAATTATGTTCCACCAAATGCCAGTGGGTGTGTGTAGCAACTCTGAACGCTGTGATCTACCTAGTGCTAGCTTCTGCAGTGTACACACCAAAATCAGGAAGCTGCTGCCCCTTAGATGTGAAACCTTGGGCAAAAGTTCCCCCAGCCTCTCGGGGCTTTAGCTCCTCTGCAAAGGGAGAGAAAACCGGCCTCAGAGTCAGGGCTCACAGAGTGTGCTGTGGTTTATTTGTTTAACCATGTGAAGGTGTGTTGCTGTTTTACCTTGCCTGTCTAAGGCTCCTGATTGTTCTAATAAAAATATGAATGGCCAATAGCAAATAAGGAGGTATAGGTGGAACTTCTGGGCAGCGAGAGTAAGTAGGAGGAGGAATTTAGGCTTAAGGAGCAAGAATAGGAGATGATAGGGAGACAGATGCCAGGGGCCAGACAGACAGACACAGAGGAAGCAGGGAAGTAGGATAAAAAGCCCTGATGTAAGAGACAACCTGGTCTACAAGAGCTAGTTCCAGGACAGGCTCCAAAGCCACAGAGAAACCCTGTCTCAAAAAACAAAACAAAACAAAACAAAACAAAAGCCCTGATGTAAAATGTAGAGGGATAGAAACAGGTTAAATTAAGTTAAAAGAGCTAGAGGGACAAGCCTAAGCTAAGGCTGAGTTTTCATAATTAGTAAGTCCCTCTGGGTGTTGGGGGTGCACGCCTTTAATCCCAGCACTCGGGAGGCAGAGGCAGGCAGATCTCTATGAGTTCGAGACCAGCCTGGTCTACAAGAGCTAGTTCCAGGACAGCCTCCAAAGCTACAGAGAAACCCCGTCTTGAAAAACAAACAAACAAACAACAACAATAATAATTAGTAAGTCTCTGTGTCTTTATTTGGGATCTGGTTGGCAGCCCAAAGAAAATGCCAACTACGAGAGTGCTTGGCATACTGGCACTGCCCATACACTGGGTATAACGGTTATGAAGTGAGTGCCAGCAATGTCACGTCACAGCCAATGGAACATTCGCGTCAGTGAGGCCTCTAACGGGTGTGTTGGCTAAGCACGGGGCTGTGGGGGCCAGAGCCCAGGTCCTCTCTGTGGGTCCTGCTCAGATACACGATGTATCTGTTCACTATGGACTAGGTCTGCGTGAGATGCCACACAGCCACCAACCAGGCCCAGAGCCAGGAAGCTGAAGGCAACACCTCTCTATTCTGGGTCTCACACTGACCCAAGGAGATAAAACAAGTGTGGAACACACACGAAAGCAAGTTGGGTGTAACACAGGGCTGCTGCCAGGTAATAGCTAACTGCAGGAAGCATTATTGAACCACAGTCCACGCAAATGTGTATAGTCCAGTTGACAGAGATGCTGTCACCAGGTGGGCAGGGGATTCAAACCTGCAGCTGTTTAGGGTCAGGTCTGCACATGAGTTAAACCAGGAAGTTATGTGGAGCTTAAAGGTCACATACAAAACCCCTCACAAAGGACAAAATACGATGATGTGGGTGTTCCTGACCTCAAACTAGCATCTATTAGGCAAGGGAGAGTTGAGCCTGAGGAGGGGGTGGCTTCAACATTTCATGACCATTATAAAGAAACGATGAGGCAGGAGCACTGGCTGCTCTTAGAGGACTCGGGTTCCATTCTCAGCACCCACATGGCAGCTCACAGCCATCTTTAACTCCAGTCCCAAGGACCTAACGCCCTCTTCTGGTCTCTGTGGGCACTGCATGCTTGTGGTGCAGAGATGAGACATAAAGACAGAAAGACACTGCAAACTAACAATAATAAATAATAAGAGAAATGACAAGCCTTGGCCACGATGGGATGAGAGCTGCAGGGAACGTCTCATGATGCCAGAAACCTCAATAAGAAGAGGGAAACAGACCTAGGAAGTTAGACCAACTAACAAGTGAGCAACAAAGATACCCATGGGTCCAATTCCTAGCATGCACCAGGTATCTTACACCCACCTGCAACTCCAGTTCCAGGGAATCAGACCCACCCTTCTGCCTCCTCAGGAAGACAAACACTCAAGTGTTGCATGTCACAGAGCACATGCATCCATGCCAGCATATACGGCTGTGTGTATATATGTCTATGAAAGCAATCACCAGGATGTATCTTCTTAGAACTGACAGTGTCCCACACGGAACACAGCAAAATAAGTTCTTAGGCTTCTCAATGAACATACCCGAGCATTTCTGTGCATGACATGTATACTGCTGACAGCATGTATGACCGTGGCTGCTGCATGGGAAGGGAGCTGAAGGGCTCACCCAAGAGCACCAGATGACTGTCAGTCTGACAGACATGTCCAGGTTAGATGAGCTGAGATGGGAAGGCCAACCCTGGATGTAGGAGGCACCACCCCACGGACTGGGATTTCAGAGCACAGAAAAAGGTGAAAGCAAACCCAGAAGCCACACTCTGCTTCTCGACAGAGGTTATGTTGCAAGTGGCTGGTCTGTTCTTGCATGTGGTGCACAGCACACACATGTGGGCAAAATACACAGATAAAAATAAAAATCGCTTTAAAAAAAAAAGAGAGAAACTCTTCCTGTTGCCATGCCGGCAGAACACCCCGACGTGAAGGCACAACGGAAGCCATTGTCAGCAGGTCCAGGGTTCCAGACACTGACTGGGCCACACACACACAAATGGCACTGGAGAACGGTCCTTATTCCATAAAGAAGCTGAGCTCAGCCATTTGCTCAGTGCTGTTACTAGGGAACGCAGAGGTAAGACCTGATGTGGTGGTCCATGCCTGTAATGCTAGTGTTCAGACTGAGACAGGAGGACTGTTCTGATCCTGGCCAGCCTGGGCTACAGAGTGACACCTTGTCTCAAAAGAACAGCAGTAAGTAGGTGCCTAAGCAGAGAGGAAGGCGGGGCGTGGAAGAACATTGCTTATGTGTCCGAGGCACATTTAATGTCTTGGGAGGACCACCAGGTCAGTCTTGTGGAGGACTGGAAGGCTGTAATTTGCTTTTTTCTAGTGCTGGAGTGTGAACCCAGGGCCTGGCTCATTCAAAGAAAACTCTCTATGGAAGGAGCCACAGTCCTAGCCTTGGCATTATTCTTTTTCCCCTGTACAGGTGAGCAAAGCGACTCACGGCTGAGTGTACCTGTTACTTCTTCACTTCCCAAACCTGGGCACGCCTGGCGCCAAAGCATCACAGAGCATATTTCTGTCCACCAAAAGCTAGGCCTGTCCTTTATTCTTCCCCTCCCTGATCTGCTAGCCTAACTTACATTTACAAGTTTCGGTGCTGCCATGTAGTTTTGGCTAGCTTTAAACTCATTATGATCTCTCTGCCTCAGCCTTCCAGTACTGGGGTTAAAACCATGAACATCACACCCACTGGTCAGCCTGACCCCTTTTAGATGCTCCAAAATGTCAATCCAAGCACTAGCAATGAAGACGCATTTAGTTTTCCAACACTCTTGGAGCAGTTGCCAAACAAGCCTCCCTATGACAAACTCACCCGTGATCTCTTATCAGTTATTTCTTTTCGAGACGAGGCCACACGTAGCCCTGACTGACTTCACACTTGACACGTGGCTGAGGATGGCCTTAAAAACAGCTGATCCCTTGCCTCCACCTCTCAAACGTTGGGATTACAGGTGGGCCAGCACGCTCGATCTGAGCCGGTGCCGGGCACAGAAACACGCTGCCAGCTCAGCCCCATCCTCGGCCCTCGAGGGCGCCTCATCATTTGAAAACCCTTTTGCGTCTGTGTTCCTCACTGCACACACAGCTCCCGCGCTGAGGGCCAAGGCACACCAGCTTGGGTCAGGGGCAGCCGGCACCTGTCAGCCAAGCAGAGTGCTCTGCTGCCCGCAGGACGCTGTGCCCATGGGCGCCTGAGTGGCAGTCAGCCCCCACCCCACTCGCGCCCGAGGACGCTTACACTCTCGGCACGGGGACACATGGGACAGCCCGGCCTCCAGTCAGCCTTACCTTCCGCGACCACGCGCGCCCACCGTTACCCGGGCAACCTGGGGGGGCGGTGCTACAGCCGTCAAGCAATGAGGCCGCAAAAGAAAGAAAGAAAAAAAACAGTCGTTTGCGCAGCCGCAGAGCCGACCCACCGCGTCCTAGAGCAGCGCGCCTGCGCACAGTATAGCAGCTGGTTCGTTCCGTCCCACCCCCACCTCGCTGGATCTAATGGAGGAGGGTTACGGGGGACGTACATCCCGCTTTGATCTTCACAGTAATCCCCCCAAATCCGCTTTTTTTTTTTTCTCACTTGAGGCTACATAAATATCACGGTATAGCTTTGGTTTGCCTGCAACTCACAGTGTAGCCCAGGCTGTTCTTGAACTCAAGGAGTTGCATCTTGTGTTTCCCCAGTGCTGGAATTAAAGATGCTCGCCGCCTTACTGGTCTAACACAAGATCAGTTTTTACAGATGAGATGTGAAGTGACCTGCCCCCCAAATACTGCCCTTGACCTCCTCAAGATGATGTGAAATTGTATTCAGTAATGAACCCTGCGTGTAACGATAATGACCAGGAAGATGTGCCCACTGGTGCAATAAGGGCATGAGGGTTATGGGGGCAACTGACAGGAAAGAATTCATGCCTAGTACTGGAAACCTGATCAAAACCCTGTGTCCCAGGAGGTCACAGGGCCTAAGGGGAAACTACTATGGCTGTCTTGTTATGGGGATGTCAAACTACTACATATTTGGTTATAGCCACAGATTAGTGCTGCCCTCACCCATGGTCGGAGAAGCGCTGTTCTCCAGTGGGCAGTGGCTAGTGGTCAAAATGCGGAGAACAAGTGGCTATCGAGTGCTCAGCTCGAGTGCTCAGCCTTAAGTGGGATATATAT